TTCCAGTGCAACAAGTGGGGTGTAACATAACCTTTTCATTACAAAATTATTTTACTTCTCTGACACCTTTCCTCACTTCTTTTAAATAATTACATCTAATATCAAAATATTGTTCTATTGAAGAATTTGAGCCAAAGAAATTAGGATAATTCATGCAAAACCAAAGTGAATTCAGAGTAAAAAATAACAACCTCAGCTTGAAAGCTCTTCAAGAGTGGTGCCATCTTTTTCCTGGTATCCTAAAAAGATAAAAATCACAGATCAATAATCTGTTGAAACAGATAGTTCCATATCTCATCAGTGATCTCATGAATGGTAGTAAGAAAGATATGGTTTTTTTCATATTTCACTGAGCACTATATTCTTAACCGTAATCAGAGTTCTTGTTCCAGTTGCACATTTAGCATTTTATTCGGGAAAGATTCCCGCTTAACCCTAGAGTATTCTAGAATAAAGCCCTAGTCTCAAAACCAATCTCAACTTGCTTCTTGGCGTTGTTTTCTTTATCCAAGAACCATACGCAAAATGAACTATGAGGCTGTACAGAAATCTTTTTTTCTATTTCCCCATTTCTCGTGATCACTTTATTTACCATCGTGTCAAATAAATTTTTGGTAAGGTCATTGTCAGGTTTCCTTGTAAAAAAGTTGGAATCATTATTTTATATGGCGTGTAAATCAAAGTACATCACCACGAACAAAATCTCCTCGTTTCACGCATGAGAACACATGCATTGTTTGATTACGAAAAAATCTATTACCAGCTCAATAAAAAGTAAGCAGGTATATTATCACTCGACATGTACATGCAGTTTAATTTCAATTAAAAAGCAAACATTTAACGATGTGTTCATGCAATCATTACCTCCGGAGTATTCTTTTTAAAATCACGACTGAGCTCAACGAGCTTTTTTCTCGATGTGTCTGATTCATCTTGGCGATCTGCTAGCTCTGCTGCAGTTGTGTCTAAGGATTTCTAACAACGTAAGGAAATTCCCATGTAATTGAACCTTCAAAAGTTTATTTACAAGTAACGAATTACAAATAGCTTACGTGTTGATTACAACAACAGAGAGACATTTATACAATTAAAAAGAAATTGTTTTAAATAGTTATTCTCTTTCATTCTCACCTGAAGATCTGGAAGAGAAAATTCTTTCCAAAAATTTCTCATAGACTGGAACGAAGAAGCCGCCATGTTTGTTTATCGCCAACTTGGCGTCATGCGCAATGCGGAAAACGTCTAAAAATAAAACCGGACCTGCAATTGGTTTATAAGTTGAACCAATCAGGAAGAATCTCTCATTCGTGGTGATCATTCGCAGGAAGAAGAAATATGGCGGCAACAGCAGATTATTTTCCGAAAAGCCCAGATCCAATGTCTCGACACCGTTCGCAATACAAGTGCAGCACACCGCCCTGGAAAGAACAGTATAGAAAGGTACGATGATATTTACGTCTTCCAATGACGATGTTTGTGATATTTTCAAGCCAGTTTTCACTTCTTTTCGATTTCATATCCCGGTGCGTGACTTTAATAAATGTCTCTTAGTTTTTAGAGTTAGTTTTTATCGGTTTTCGCTCTTGTGATCGTAGCGCACGAAAACTTAGTACTTTTTTTATAATCTTCAGCAACGTTACTTAAGTTACATTAGTGTCGCCATAGTTTTATGAGTTCACACTGTTTTGGAGAGGACCATTTTGCAAAACACAGAAGCTCGATAAAGAAGCGGGTGGGGTGGGGTGGGGTGGGGGGGGGGGGGGGGGGGGGGGGGGGGGGGGGGAATAGGAGTGCTTTGAGGGCCTCAAAAAGCTGAGAGATTCAGTTATTTAAATTCCAATCCTCCCCTTAAGATGGCAGAAAAGCAAACTTTTATTGGTGCCTTCTGAAAAGTGAATGTGTGAGGTTGAATTTTTAGTCTGTCCTTATGAAAATATATCTGAAGTGTCCAACTTTTGTCACCCTCTTCTTTTGATAGATACTTTGCACTTTAACTCCCAAGATCTCTTTAGTAATTCTCCTTACTGTCTGCTATACAATTCTTCTGATGTAACTTCTGAGAATTTGGTATTGGATCAACTAATAATCCCCTAATTGTTAACTTTCTTGGTCCTCATTACTTGTCTTCCTGATTTTGTGTTGACATTGTAAGGAAAAATTCTGTCTTAGTCACTCATGGGAGTAACAGGATTAAATGACAAGAATTCTACTAACAACTCTATATGTCCTGTGTCTGTGTTACATCTGGATTCTTGCCAGCATTATGAATGCACTAAAAATCTCTTGTTAGTTCAAGCCTTTAGTTAGATCTTTGTGTTTCACTTTTGGTTGAACTGGCATCTCTACTTGTTTTTAAAATCTCTTTAGAGGTGCTTGGACAGGCTCAAAAATGGAAGGCAGAAATTTGTGGAGAGATTTAGGCAAGCCAGTTGTGAGACAAATGACTCCTCTTTTGTCAACGAAGTGATGGATGAAGAATGGCGTAGGCTTAGTGAAGAAAATCAAGAACTTTCACCATGGCGTCCAACCAGAAGGTCATGCACACCATTTAAAGGGGTTAGTAAAACTAGTGCTAGGGAGATGTAATGGCTCAGTGGTACATGTTGGCCCATAGTGCAGTTGGCCCAATGGTGCATGTTGGCCCAATGGTACATGTTGGCCCAATGGTGCATGTTGGCCTAATCAGGCATGTTGGCCCAATCAGGTGTGTTGTTCCAATGGAGCATTTTGTGTTGAGAGGTTTGCATTCAAGACCTGGCTTTGCATTGTGTTCTTTGGCAAAACACTTTCACAGTGTTTCTCTTCACCCAGGAGTATACTGGCTTAGAGCATTGAACAGTCCACAAGTTTTATACATAAATAATGTGCTTTTAATACTTATGCGATCTTTTCAGTCAATATAGAAATTAGTTTAAACATGCTGGAGATATATCAATTAACTTGTATCATTTTTTCAATTTTATTTAAATCTTGAATCATTCATTCTCTCTCTCTTTAAGATTGAGTTAGATTGTTCAGAGGATACTTCCCTTGACGAGGTTCTGTCTTTACTGGATGAAATTCAAAAGGAACTGATGGATGAAGAAAGAAACATTCTTGCCCAGTATGAGGAAAATCTGAAGTTTGAGGAATCTTCTCTATGTGCAGCTATTGAAAGTCTTGGAACAGAGGATTCTGTCATTTGCCCAGTCTGCAAAAGGTTGGTGAACCCTTACCATACTTAATCCTTTGTTCCCTTAGGGTGACTAGCATCTAATTTCTTGTAATAATATCACTCCTGAATCCACATTAATGTCACAAGAATAAAGGAAATAATCACCAACTAAAGAAGCTCTTGATTGTTGAACAAATTCTCTTTGTCAGCACTCCAGCACTGATGTTAGGGTGTAAAGCTTGAATTCAGGAAATGGACTGAGATTAAAGGATTAAAAACAACAAGATGCCTTGCAAAAGTATTGTTGTCCTTCATGGGGGTTAAACTAAAGGTTAAAAGCTTGTAAGTGAGTATTCTCCATCTTGTTTTGTCCCCCCCATCCTCTACCCCCACTCCATTACCCACCCAAGTTCTTTTATTTTGTTTTAGAATAGCCATATTGCTGTGCCTTTATTTTTTTGTCCCTTCCCAGTACTTCTTGAACCAATTTCCCATGATGGGAGCTTTGTTAATGAGAGCCCTCATTTTCAGTGATTTGTTAGATTATCTTTCTTTTCTATCTTGGTAACAGAAATCCATTACATCAGAACAAACAGGTCGTCTTCTGTGCTTGTGGAATCAGAATTGATACTGAGGTGGGATTACTATGACTTTTGAAGTTTGTTTAGTTTAACCCTTTCACTCCTATGAATGACTAGCAGCTAATTTCTCCCTTCCTCCAAAAGATCTCGCCTTTTTACAGATTGAATGAATCCAAACTTAGTTATTACGCTTTTAGCAGTTCTACATGGCTCCTGAAGTGAATACCCTAAGGAATAGTGGAATAAATTGAGCCTTCTGTGCACAAAATCCAGCGGTAACACCCATTTCTGAATGACATGCTTAAATTGACATGAAGTTGTAATGCAATACCACCCCTGAATCTCAAATTAAGCTAGGTCATGAGAACAAAGGAAATAATCACCAATGAAAGAAGCTTTTGATTATTGAACTAATTGCCTGGTGAGATATTAAAGAAAAATAGATCTCATGTTGCCATGTTTCTGTTCAGTGATAAAACTTAAATGACATCAAACTGTTGTTAGTGCAAAGTGGTGGCACACAAGGTGCGTTGCTGATTTTCTTACAATATTCTGGCATCTTCATTGATCTATAATTGTATAGATCCACTGTGTGGTGAACTCTATTTGTTTATATAATAGAAAAGCAAAATGTTTATAATGGTAACATCATCTATGCATCTGATCTCCAATAGATCATCAATAAGAACACAACATAATTTTGCTTATCATACATAAGGAATTTTTCTTTGTGATCCTTTAGCATGACGCACTAAACCTGACCTATCTCAGAAACCAGATTGATGGGGCATTAACAATCCATGGGTAAGTTTTCAACTTGTGACTTGTGCCGTAGGAATTTGCTACCTTACTTTACCAACTAAATGTTGCAGTGGGCCAGCTTCTCTTCCAAGGGGGATTAGCATAGCTCCTGATTGCTTCATGCTACAGAAATTGGAATAAGCTCTAACTGGATGCACCAATAGGTCATTTCCAAATTACATTTGGTTTCTTTTTCAGAGTGACTCCTGGTGCTCACCTTTTATATGATTATAAGTTTTCATTCACGAGCAAATAAATTCATTTTTATATGAATGGTTGAGTGCCAAGCCTAGTTTTAAAAAGGAGGAAAAGGGTAATTTGGAAATGGCCCTTGCAGATAATACTTTACTATTGCTGGTTTTGGAGAAGACAAATAGAGATAAAATTATTCAGTTTTAGTTAATTATCATGAAAAGAAAAAAAAATGAAAAAAGAGTGAAAAGAAAGTCGACACTATTTTGGAACGGTCTTTGCGCAGACTTTAAGGCGTTCCCATGAGCATGCCTTTGGTTATGTGTAAGAATTAAGTGTGTTTGTCACTTTTTTCCTGGCCTATTTTATTTTTCATTGATATCCTGTTCTCTATGATTTTCTGCTTTTTTTGGCAGAGAACAAGGTTGCACAATGGAACCAGAGTTTTGCGTATCGGTTTTACAAGAGGTGGCAGTAAGCAATCTTGTTGCTCTGTGTAAGGTGAGAAGAAAGATGAACTTTCTATAACCAAAGAGCATAGCATTTAATTTCTTTCACGGGTTTTGCACAGTTTGTCTTTTTTTCTTAATTTATGTAGTGACAAATCGATGCTAATACGATTAATAGTGCGAGCCCTGTTGTAAAAGACGATGACGTTGTGTAAACCTTTGTGTGATGTTGTTCTGAAGAGAACGGCTGTGGAATTGGAATTTCATTTTTCACTGTATTAACAAGACCACATTCCGGACCATAACAGACCGACCCAATCTTATCGCAGGATCTAAACTGATTATTCACAACATATGATTATAACCGTTACCTGCGTTTGTCAGCCATTAACCCATGAAACCCTAATGCTATTAGGAATTCTTATCTATGCATTTCCTAGCCTGCGTCTAACGGACTAGTCTACGTGAAGGGGTTTTCTTGCTTTTTTTACATAAGAATAGGCAAGTAGGAGGCAAGTGTGACGGACGAAACTTGCATTAGAGGAGGAGCTAAACAACACAACAATAAAAAACTCCACAAAATAAACGATGCCTCTTTTGACGGACTGGAACTGATTGTCGTAATTGTTTTTCATCTGCACACGGTGGCTGGGAAGGAACATCGACTTCCGTGCCTTCCTCTTGTTCCCGCTACTGATTTTGTTTCCTCCCGGGACTTCCTTGTTTATTCTGCGAGTTCTTTTTTCCATTCACACCTTCTGCTTTGCATCCTTGCCTTTTATTTCTACCCGGACGTTCTTTTTATTTCATTAACGACTTCTTTTTCCATCGGCGACTTCTTTTTACTTGAAAACCCACGCCTTATTCTCGGTCTGCGACGTGAAATTGGCTATTCCTTGGCTTTACACCCCAACATCAGTAAGCATACTCTCCACACTTTTTCAGTACATTTCTTCAGGTTCTGAAAAGGAGAATTTGTCTATCAATCAAGAGCTTCTTTCTTTGTTTATCATTTTCCTTATTCTCGTGACCTTAATGTTTGATTCAGGGGTGATTTCGTAAGGAGGGGTTAAGGGGTTAAGAAAAACGTAAGAAGGTTTCAAAAGCTATGTAAGTTTACCTCAAAAAAGTTCAAGGTGGATCTCAAATCCGCGGTGTCATCGCCCTCTGCGTGGTTGCAGTCAACTTGCTGCTCAGCAGACATTCAGAAATCGTGTGCGTTTGAACAAAAAGTCACGTAAAAAATACTTAAAGACATCCCGTTTTTGCTCGTCTCCGTATTCTTTCACGTTTTCGAACCACAACAGTAGCTTATGATTGTCTAAAGTAATTAAAGTAATAATCCATTCTCAGTCAGCGTTGTACACAGGACACTATGACATCAATATCGGAAAGGCCTCACCACCCCACCCCCCCCCCACCCCTCTTGACCACCAAAGGGAAAACGCAAACTACTTAAAATAGCCAGTGTCTCATGCCAAGGCAAACCGGTGGTTCTTAGTCACAAGGCTTAAAAGAACATACCAATCCGTTTTCTCTTGATGTTTTTAAATTTGGTATTTATATAGGAAAACGCATTTTCTTATTACTTAAGGTAGAATTTTTTCTCTAACCACCTCAATCCTTTCTATCTCTGTTTCAGGCGTGCGATTTCTTGTTCATCGTTCTTTGACGCAAAAAATGTAGAAAAAGAATTTTCCTCAAGGAAAGAGGAAGTTAAAGAGTTCAGCAATTGCGAAATTTTATCTCAGTGAACGAGATATGTACTAAAATTATCATTTAGTCGTGTACAGAATTTGTAATAGATCCTTATTAGTTGAGTGTAAATAAAGTTTTTGGCTCTACTTGAAGAGTTATTGTGGTTTCATAATGATTTATAGTAAATTTTAAGTATCCGGTGTTTCAGTTTTTTGGCTGATAACCAATCAAATGTTGGGCCTCATGAGAACCGGAAACTGCATAGGCACGCACACGTAGTTGTGACTTCCGGAATACCATTTACTTTTCTTTCGATCATACGATCTATAAGAGTGCTGATAACTTTATTTTCAGTTAAGAAAGGAAAGAAAATCCAACTTATACCCGATAAGAAAATAGCGACCGAAACTGTCCGATAATTTCCTGAAGGATTAGAGAGACAACAGAACGGCGCAGCTCTCTACAGGATATCGCGCATCTTGTTTTGAGGTCTTCCGCAAATTCAGAACTTGAGTAAAGAGCCATTAGAAATGGTGGCAAATGGTCATCCTATGGGGCCTGTGTCAGAAATGTTGTCCTTCCATTCCGAACTGTCATCGTAGAATGGCTAGGTAACATCACGTTGCTTTCATGGCTTGTTACAATGGCGAGGTCGGCACGAAATTTCCAACGGGGCGATGGGAAGAGTTTTGTAAAGACCGGGGCGAAGTAGCGGCGATCAATTTCGCCAATGAATTCCTTCAATTTGTAAGAGACAACCCAGTTTTTGATGTATCGGGAGCATCTGGTACATTTTCTAAGCGTTTTGTCGAGCATTTCCTTCAAGCATTTGACGTAGAGGTGCATAAACAAGACGGATTTCTGGACCTCGAGGCCCCCGACTCGCCGACCGATGTGTTCGGTCCAGACGATTGGGGTTCAAGCGTTCATCTCACGGGCACATTTAAAGCTCCAGAGAAGAAAACAAGTGAATCCAGCTTCAAATTCCTTGAGAAATTAAAGGACGTGAAAGGATTTTTCAAACGCAATGCGAACGAAGAGTTACCTCCTGCCAAACAGGCGGAAACGAGGAGAGATCTGGATGATCAGAGAGCTCAATTTCTGGAGACGAAACTGTCAACTTCTGTCAAACGCGAAGGAGTCATGAACTATTTAATGAACTTGGAAAGTGGAATGAATACAGAGGACTTCTTTTGGCAGAAATGTCGAGTGGTTCTGTTCAAAGCACCTGGAGGGTTTATGTTGGAGTTTTATACACCTCCAAAGGTAATTCAACAGAGATCGAAATTTCTAACTTGAGGAACAGGTTTTATGTTTTGATCTCTTTGCTTTCTAGTCAACCGACCACCTGGTTGGTCATTTTCCCTTATCGCTCCATTAACTCACAATGTTGCCTATGTATTTGTATTGTCTCTTGAGGTTTTTAAGGGTGTTAATACTTAATCAAAACATGAATGGACTCGGTGTGAAACTTTTCTTCTTGTTTACAGCTTATCGCCAGGATGAATGTTAAGTCAAAAATTTTCACCGATCGAAAGTTGACCGTGATCACCTGTTTAGCTTAAAGCACATAGATGTAGCGGCCCATTATGATGTTCTTCCTTTTTTTCCATTCTGCTATATACGGTTTAAGTCTGATTATCACTTCCTTGATCTACGCGATATATTTGTTATTTTTGGATCAGATCGGATTAAAATTGGATCTAGGAAGGAATTATGTTTTTTTTCATGTTAGTGAAATTCAATTTATTTGTTTCTTTGGGAAATAAGAGGGTTTTTAAATGATATGTTTGATATTTAAACATTGAAGTGTCGGTTTTTTCATAGGTATTTGTAGTCAATAAGTGTGTATTTGGAATGAGCTTGTTGGGTAGATATATCGTGTATTTACCTGTAGGTCAATTTTTTTTCCTTTCATTTTCTTAATGTTTTAAGTGTGGGTTGCACACAAGATTCATCTAATGCATTGAGCAAAGAGAAAATGAAAAAAATTGAATGCCATCAAGAACAAGAGACATTAGAGTTAGCTGCAAACTCATACTCATGGATCTGCAAGGGAGGACAAACAGACCATATCAGTGGCCAAGTCATAGGGAACTGTGACATGAAAAAGTCTGGTCATTCTTCTTTCCTCCCTTTCCCCAAAAAAGAAAAACTAATCAGCAAAAAGAAATGATACAGTTTTGTCTCTTCTCCTATTGAGTGGGATTAAGGTCTAGGTGGTTCAATATTGGCTCAGCTTTTTTTCAGTTTTTGGGTTTAACAAATTTAAGAGCAAAATGAAGCTGAAGTCCATGAAAATGTTGCAAAGAAAAGGCATATATTGCAACCTTGAGTGAGCGAAACTGATATATTTACGATTTGTTATTGAAGAACGATCACTGGGTCAAGAAACACATTTAAAGTTGAGGAGAAAATAGAGCTTGCCATTTGACCAACTGAGCTTTCAAACAAACTGGGAGCTGGCCTGATAATTCTTAAGGCAACACTGCAAATTTTCATGTTTCTCTTTTAAAGATTTATTGCATAGCAAAAGTCAGACACAAGCATTTTTATTTTAGATAAGAAGGAATATATCACCCAAAGGCCAATCAAACATAATTTATCTTGTTTATTCAAGAAGCTAACCATTAATACCATATACCATTTCCACCCTGTTTTCATGGACTATGTAAACTCAGGGCTGGTTCAGTGTTTCAAGACCTCACTTTGCACATCAATCTTCTTATAATAATAGTGTTATTCAATTTATAGAGGAGAAGTAGGGTTGTTTTATTTCTTGGTTATGAAAAACTTTGTTTTTGCAACCAAGATCTTGATAACCAGGCTAGAAATAATTTCCATTTTGACCACTCCTGTAAGGTTTAAGTTTAACCATGTTTATTTGGCCAGCCCCAATAAATGGGTTCGTATACATCATCCAGTGTTACAACATCTACCTCACCCTCTTTTTCTCAAGAGGAAAGAGGAATAATTTTGTATGGGAATCTAACAGTCTATCAGAAATCACCTAGGACTTTATGTAGTGCTTCCTTACAATTGAACCTGTTTGATTAACCAATTAAGCAAATTCAACTGGACTTTTGTTGTAGAGGTGTTTTTTTTTCATTCTATAGTCACCCAAACCAAAGACAGGAATATTCTGCTTCCTCATTCATGAAGCAAGGCCTGCAACAGAGTTGGAGCTGCCAGGAGGAGAGAATGTGTTTGTCATCAAGGTTTGCAATGAATTATAACATATACTATCTTTACTGACGCATTATGGGATACACATCTTCACAATAAGGATCAGCAATATTTAAAGCTTTCCTTATGAATAAATATGCTTAATTAAGCAAAGGTCAGAAAATCTTATCTATGACAGATGACAAATTCTTTGCTCAGATTCCTAAAAGGGACTCAGAATTTTTCTTTGTCTTGCATTTTTTGGTAATAAGACCTTATAGGCATCTCTCTATGTTAAAAATGTAATGTTCCATGAGGTGTAACCTTGCTAGCAGACCTTCACAAATCCAATAGCACCAAGTTTAACTCCTAGGACATCTACATTTAACTTTCTCTTAGACACCTTGATGTATTAGTTTTGTTTACAGTGGATCTGTTAATTTTTTTCTACAGGCTGTAAACAAGAGAGAATACATGCTAGCAGCTAATCACAAGGAGGAAATGGATGAGTGGCTGGCTGAGATAAGAAAATGCATGGAAGAAGATCAGGGGTCAACCAGTCAAAGGTGAAAGGCTGAATAAACTGTTTTTCTGCTGTTGTTATTAATTTGGAGAGTGCAGTATTACTCTGTGAGAAAGGTTTCCTTTAACTTTTCATGGGCAATATTGGGCTTTAGCTTTTAATGGGCTGACATCACACTTTTTCTGTTTGATAGCCAGCGTGAAGTGTTCATAAGCTGATGTCTTAGGAGTTAGCCCTTTGTCAGTGCAAGTGACATCCTAAAGCTGATGTGTTAGGAGTTAGCCCTTTGTCAGTGCAAGTGACATCACACTTCTTTTGTCTTTAGTTCGTTACTGAACTGTTTGTAACAGGAACACATAAAATCATTCTGAATGGCGTTTGGTCTACATCTTCAGCTAGGGGTCAGTTTCCAACAGCAGCCAGCTGACAGATAGATCTCCCTGTTTTTAACCATTTAATTCCCGGAAGTGATTAACATGTAACTTCTCCCTCTAATATCCATACATTATCCAGCAAACAGGTAGTGAGATTACTCAAACTTATCAGGTA